TACTTTATTGGCATGTGATTTTTATTGTTTTTATCATGATATTTTTACTATGTCTGAAGACTTGTGCAAGAAATCTGTAACTATTGCCCTAACTAGGCAACATTCTCAGGATGGGTAACAGACAACTGTAGTTCTGGCTGTTTATGCAAGATAATATCAGTTTTTATGTCCCCCTTGGAGAGTGGTGCATCCTTTTGTCCATTTCATTCTGGCTTTGGCAGTATTATATGCTATGGTGGTAATTGATCCAGCCATAACAGTCATAATAGAAGAATTCTCCAAATTTCATGAATGTTTATGCTTATGATATGAGTTAATATATACTGAAATTGAAGCTTAAATGGCTATTGTGTATTCTTTATTGGCCAAGTGTGATTGGACACACAAGGAATTTGTCTCCAGTTCATAAGCTCTCAGTGTACATGAAAGCAACAAGTGATAAATCATGATCATAATCATAAAATACAATCATCATAAATCATAAGATACAACACTCAGTGATAGTCATAGGATACTAAATAAGCAATCAACATAAATCATAATAGGATACTAAATAAAAGCAATCAACATAAATCATAAGATACAAAGCTATAGTCATAAGAAGCTAAGGAAATGGGTAATGGGAAAGATGAGGAGGATAATAGTAATACAGCCCTACTAGGTGGTTTGACATCCCAGGGGCATAAGACAGTGTTGTGGGAATTAGTTGTTTAGCAGAGTGATGGCATGGTGGGGGGGAAACTGTCCTTGTGTCTAGCTGTTTTGGCGTGCTATGCCCTATAGTGTCATCTTGAGAGAAGAAGTTGAAACAGTCTGTGTCCAGGATGTGAGGGGGTCTGTAGATATTTTCATAGCCCTCTTTCTGGCTTGTGCAGTATACAGGTCCTCAGTGGAAGGCAGGCTGCTTGCAATTGTTTTCTCTGCAGTTCTAACTATCCACTGAAGTCTGTGTCTGTCTTGTTTGGTTGCAGTGCCAAACAGACATTATAGAGGTGCAAATGACATCATCATCATTTGATTCAAGCTTATCGTCCCACAGAAAAGCATTGTGTAATGTTGGGTCAATCTCTGATTTTCAATCCAATCACCCCTACAGAGTTATTTTAGAGCTAAATTCAAATAAACCTTGAGCTCTTCTGATGAAAGATGTGGTGGTGGTGATGGTGGCGATGATGATGATGATGATAGGATGGAGAAAGGAGAAACAACTGCCTTATTTTACTTCTCCTCTCATCTCCTGATTTTTTTCAGCATCTCACCTGATGATGAGTTCTGGAGATTCAGGCATTTTGATTTGTTCTAATAAATTAATATCCCATCATGGATTTGGGCCGTTTGAATACAGTAAATTCCACTGAATGTGGAGGGATGTACTTCTGCTCAGGGAACTGTATCCTCTATTCCCACTGTTTTGATCAACAGGATTCTATGCCAGTATACTGAAAAGTATATTTCACAAAATTCAATTGTACATGTTTTCAGTTATGCTTAGAATTGTTATAAAGCTGTCATATATTCTAGAATATGCCTCTAGAGGGCCCCAGTTTGCTCTGGAACTACAGTAGCAGGATACCCCAGTTTGGCAAGATTATGCTCTGTATTTTGATACTCTTGCATAACTCTTTAAATGGCATTTGAATAAATTTCCTGACAATATATGCCTATTCTGTGGAGGCAGATGATTGCTGATTGAATTAGTTCTGGCTTTTGTCTTCAGATTGATGACATTTATTGAGAGAAATTGACTGGTCCAAGGCCCCCCTGCAGGCATTCATGCCTAAAGCGACATTAAAACTCATGGTCTTCAGTTTGCTTTAGTGGTTAAGGGACCAGGCTAGAAACCAGGAGACCATAATTTCTAATCCTGCTTTAGTCATGAAAGCCAGCTGGGTGATTTAGGCCAGTCACACTTTCTCAGACCAATTCACCTCACAGGGTTGTTGTGTGGGGAAAATAGGAGGAGGAAGGGATGCTGGAAAATATTCGCTGCCTTGAGCTATTTGTAAAAATAATGAAGATACCAACAAATAAATATAAGAAAAATGAACTCACAAATCTACTTTCCTTCCAGAAAACCTTGAAATATTGGAACTTGGTGACAATTTAATAAGGGTTCTTCTACCTGAATTTGATTTTGAAAGTTTTTTTTAAAAGAAATAAGAGAACTTGGTATACAAACCAATTTGATTTTGTTTTTTTTCCCCTCCCTTACTAGTTTACAGAGGTTGACTTTGGATGGAAATAACACAGAATATGTCTCTTGGTCATTGCATTTTCCACACCTAAACTATATTAGCATCGAGATAGAACACTGCAATGTTTTCCAAGAAGCTTGTTCACATTTTTTTATAATTTGTTGTTTCTTCATTTAAATGGTAATCTATTCACAGATCTCCTTCTGATCTGCTAATATAGGGGTGTCAAACTGCTGGCCTGCGGGTTGGTTGCATCATGTGGAGGCCGCGCCCACCCCACCTCCAGAAATGCGAAAAAAGTCATGACACGTCGCGACACGTCACGTGACGCGGCGAGTTTGACACCTGTGTGCTAATATTATATTGTCATTGAAGCTGGAAAGGAACCAGCTGAAAGTGGTAAAACTTGGAGATGTGGAAAAATTTGTCAGAGCTCTGCCTGTCTGAAAACCAGTTTTCACCGGTTGGTATGCAGCTTTCTTTCTGGTTTAATGAGGATGGACCTGTCAAAAAAACAAACTCCAAACAATCTCACTCAGATTGCCAGAAAATTGATTTCACAAACAATCTGAGAGCATTAGAGCACAAGAAGTTTAGAGTTTATGAAACTTCAACCGTGTGTTCCTTGACAATTATATTGTATGTTACTACGTTTGAAGATGGAGTGCTTCAAAAAATGTACACTATTGTCTAATTTAGCACGTGAACAAAATCAGCTTCATTCTATTCCATTAAAGTAAGTGACTAAGATACATAATTTGTCAGGGACGTGGAATTAAAAGAACATAAGTTGAATTTCATTGTGGAATCAGGAAATATATTATCTCTGCAATAAAGAGTTTACATTTAGTATATTTTCTGTAATATAAATACATTCAATTTCAGGATTGAAGAAATTAGTTTGGTTTCTAAAAGAAAAAGTGTGCTGCCAAAGGCTGAGTTCCTGTAATCTTATTCATACTACACCATGAACTTTTAAAAATGTCTCAAATTACAACGTAGTTTAATTTGCAGTCCAAAAGCCCATTTGGCTAGGAAGCCAAGTGGGTGGCATGTTACTTATTTCTCATTGTAATGATAGGTTGTGTGGATAAATAGTTAGTTTGCTGAAAGCAGTTATAGAAGTGATAAACAATATTTTTCTTTACTTTTTTCTTCAGAGTCCCACATGCTCTAACCAGACTGGACTTAAAAAGAAATAATGTATGAAATATTAAAGAAAAAGAATTAGCAAATTAAAAATGTCTAAAGGTATTAAATCTAGAGAACAATAAGCTATCCACTCTTAGTTACAATTTCCTAACATTCCCTGTCTCAGATACTTGATGACAATCCATGATGTCTTCAAATCAGAAGTGTGCTCACCACCAAAGGCACAGAGGTCAAGGGAGGGTCATCACTAGTAGAGAGCCTTGATGAAAGCTGTATGTCTTCAACAATGATCTTGCATTTGTATATACATAAAATCTTTATTCTGTGTAAGAGGGTAAAGCAATAAGCAAGCATACAAATGGCGATATCTCTGTAAATATGGGTGGTGATTATGATTATGAAATAAAGGTCAACCTAAGATACCTTCTGTAGATCTCCTTCCTCTAATGTGAATTTAATTCAGCCCTATTTCAGGAGATCGGAGACTTTTGTGTTTCGTTGTATAGCATCTAACTCAACTGTCTCCAAGCATGCTTGTGAGGACCACACAGGCCATCACTTAAAAGTAAATAATGTAGTTGTATTTAGAATTGTTTAATTATCCTATATGCTGCACTGATGGGTGACCAATATTTATCAAAATATATATGTACAGTACTGTATATGAATGTGTGAAAGGACCACTTTGGCAGAACCGGTAGCTAATTTTTTGTTGCCCAGGGCCAGAATGGACTTCCGGAACCGGCATCCATGCAAGAGAACCGGTTGTTCACATATTTGAATCCCACCACTAGAAAGGACCCAAAGGTGGACCCTCTTTGAAAAAGATATTTCTAAGAAGTAGCTTTCTACGCATTTGTGGGATATGTGAGAAATAAGGATGCAAATAAACAGACGTCTGCAGCCCACAAATAATGTTTTAGTTCAGTCCGTATTTCTTAAAAGTTTTAGTTCAGTGCATTTTCACTCCTACAATTCACCTTCACTCCTGGTTAAGAAATAAGCCATTATAGGAGCTTTTCATCTAATTCATCTCACAATTGCCTATCCAGTTTGAGCAAATAAAGCAGTGTTTCTCAACCTTGACAATTTTAAGGCATGTGGACTTCAACTCCCAGAATTCCACAGCCAGCATTGCTGGCTGTGGAATTCTGGGAGTTGAAGTCCACATGCCTTAAAATTGTCAAGGTTGAGAAACACTGAAATAAAGGAACCAGCCACAAAAATTTGATTTATTGTTTCACTATCACGCACATGGTGAGCAAGGCAGCGGAACTTTAACAACGCACACACGTCCGCCACTAGATGTCGCAATATAACATTAAATCCGTCCGTAGCTGCAAAAAGACATCCTTAGGGCTTCCCTCTTCGTCAGTTTCCTTCGGGCCACGTCATTTGGTCTCTCAACCCGGAAACGACTTAGTCCCGTTGCTTCGACCAATGAGCAGCAGCTGCGTAGGCTAGAGGGTAAAGGTCAGGACAGGTCTAGAGATGGTTGCACTAGAGAAAGTTGCCGGGCAGATAAAACCGTCTCCGTGAAGCAAAGGGAGGCGAGATGGTGCATCCTTCGCGGTTCGGCTGATCCAACTTTAACCGCCTCGGCCGACGATTCCCCGCTCTCTGCTCCTCTCGCGTCTCCCTCCGTCCAGTCCAATGAGCGTCGCGTACGAGCTGCTGTGGCGTTTGCTGCACGCCTTGTTCAGCGTCCAGCGCGCGCTGGTCGCCTGGGGCCGCGGTTGGTTCGGAGGTCACGGCTCGTGGCTCAGCCGTTGGCGGCGGCGCGCGGCTACGGCCGCCACCGCCGCCTCGCGGGCCCTGTTAGCTCCGGCGGCGGCGGCGAATCCTTTCGCCTTCCACAAGCCGGCGGCGGCGGGGCGGAAAGTGGTGGGCGCCGGGGGCCGGTGGCGGAGGGATGCGAAATCTCTGCAGAAGCTGCCGGGCCACGTGGGGCTGGTGGTGACCGAGGAGGAGCAGAGCTACGCCGATGTGGCCAGCTTAGTGGTGTGGTGCATGGCGGTGGGCATCTCCTATGTCAGCGTCTACGACCACGAAGGTAAGTCGCCTGTCGTAGCCAAGTTGCTCTCGCCCTTTTCTTGTGGAAAACGAAAGAACTCTTAACGAATTCCAGAAAATAGCAGAAAAATAGCAGAAAAAGTTTCTTTGCGCAGGTTCAGAGGCATTTTGGGATAGGCGATTCTGAACAAGGAGGGAGGGATTAGACTTCAGTTTTTATACTAATCTTCTTAAAGAACAAAGGGCTATACCAGGGGTAGGCAACCTTGGCTCTTTTATGACTCATGGACTTCAACTCCCAGAATTCCTGAGCCAGCTGTGCTGGCTCAGGAATTCTGGGAGTTGAAGTCCATGAGTCATAAAAGAGCCAAGGTTGCCTACCCCTGGGCTATACACATTGAAATACACACTGTGATACATTAGGAGCGTTTCTCACAGGCCTACAATGGAAGGTTTTGCTACATGCAAAGTATCCATGTGCAAAGCGCATTTGGTTGCCACATATTACTGACACAGAAATTTTTCTCCGTGTATTTTTCCCAGTGATTATGCATTACCTCATTGTCCTAGCAATTATGCAGAGAAATCGTTATTCTAGTTATTGTTCATTTTACTACATTACTTTCTCGATAGCGAGGTCGACCTTGAAAGTCCTACCGGCGGATGTTTTTTTTTTTTTTTCTGCCTGCCGTCGATCCCAGTTACAGGTTAGTCCTCGACTTAACAAGAGTTTAGTTAAAACAGCACTGAATGACCGTTTTTCTCACTTGCGACCATTGCAGGCATCCCCGTGGTCACGCGATCAAAAATTCAGAATATTTGGCGGTTGATTCGTATTTATGACTGGTTGCGGTGTCCCAGGGTTATGTTATGTTATGTTGCCTTTGGCAATATTTTGACCAGCAAAGTCAATGGGGAAGCCAGATTCGCTTAACAACAGTGTTACTAACTTAACAAGTGCAATGATTCACTTGACAACTGTGGCCAGAAAGGTCATAAAACGGGGCAAAATTCACTTCACGGATGTCTCAGTTAGCAACAGAAATTTTGGGGTCAATTGTAATTGTAAGTCGAGAACTACCTATATTAAATGCCGGCTAAGGCAACTAAGGTTTGTTGAGACAGGGAGCAGCTTTATTACAGGGTATGTTTTCCTTACCTAGCGTGAGCTCAGTTTGGCTGATAGAGAAAAATATAAACAGTAGAAAGTTAAGAGGTGAAGGTCAATAAAAGAACTTTTTTCAAGAAGTTCATTGGTTTTGTTATTTAGTTATTATTCGATTATGGGACTACCTGACTCCAGAGGATTCTGAGCAGTTTTTTCTGAATCTTTTTATTAGTGCCTACTGAATACATTTAGTTTAATCCCTATACTTTATTTTACTTCTCTTACTGCCGTTTAGAACATTTTATTAATTTTTTTAAACAAAAGAAACCATAATAACTAACACAAACTAATCAAGAGTAACCATTTTGATCAACTGTTTGAAAAAATAATTTTAGCAAATATTAGTGTTATACACCCTATTTTTAGATTCCAATAAATATGCGCTGATGTTCATTTTAGCAGAAATATTATTGTATATATTCCCAGAACCACCCACTCTTTTGCCACCATACCAGGATCTATTTGTTCATGAATAATGGGATGGTCTCAGATTCTCCATTTCTCTGATACAGATTTTTTTTTTCTTTTGCCCACTGCCTGGTAATGCATATTTAATTGATTAGTCCAGAAATGGTATTGACACAAGGATCCAGAACATTTCAGCAACTGTATCATGGTGATCTGAGTGTTCTGCTTGATCCCAGGATTTTTCAAATTGTTTTGTTGAACCCTAGGGATCTGCGAAGCAGGAGCAGAATGGTATTTACAGTCCCTTAAGCTCTCAGAGCAGAGAGGTATAGGTTCCTGACAATAATATAGAGCTTATATCTCTCTGCTCTCAAACTATCATGTTCTGATTTTTGCAGTTTAAGGAATGTTTACTTACCCTTCCCCTTTATTATCCAATAAGTATCAAAACAGCAACACTATTTGATTCTACATAATGCCAAAAACTGAAATAAAATGTATATTGAAGTTTTTAGTAAATGCTCATTATCTTAATGTTTCGCTTCTTTTCAAACAAAATTAGAATTTTTCAGCCATTGTAATACCTCCTATGATTCCCATTGTTCAATACTATGTATCCTCTCCACTCCACAAATGTTATTAAATAATAATTAGAATTACTGTGTGTAGTTGTTAAATTGGCTATAGAGAAAGGAAGCACTGCTTCAGCTAGCTAAAGTAATTTCAAAGTGATTTGTCTGAAATTTTGTTATGTAAAATGTTATACTTCTTTTTAATTCATGAAAACTGATAAGAAAATGTCATGTATTTTGTTTTACATTCTAAGAAATCAGTCTCATTTGCCAAAAGCAGCAATATCTGATGCAGTCCTGTATGGGCTTAATTTCACCTTATTTGTTATTAAGATTCATGTGACTATGTGACTCAGTCTAACATGCTGATATGTCATATAATGAACTGAAATAAAATCTTATTATTTCAATGCATTGCAAGTAGTCCTTATTTAGCAACCACAATTGAAATTGGCAACTTGATCATTAAGTGATTGCTAAGTAAAAGCATGACTGTGCTTACAATCTTCCTTCAGCTTTCCTTTGCAAAGGTTGTAAATACTAGGATTGTTGTAAAGTTATTTTTTCAGCACTGTCATAAGTGCAGCTATTTGCTAAATGAGGACTATATGTAAAGACTGGGATCATATTTTATCAACAGCATTTTAATAGGATCCACCTATAAGATGAAGTTGACACCCAAGTAAAGAAACTAAAATCTTGCTTAGATTAAATAATATACAGTAAAAAACATGATTGGAGAAACTCTGACTTGAAGGTGGACAACATATATCCAATTTAAAATAACCTTTTTAGTTTAGGAGAAGAAGGCCAATGTTTATAGCATCTTTAAGATATAAATGGGCAATTAGAGTCATAGTGGAATGGAAAAGTTTATAGACAGCCAGAATTTATTAAAGTATATGTGAGAAAATGAAGTCTTGAAGAATAGCTTCAGTTTAGTAAAAATTTAATTACATGGCTACAGCTCTTAAAGATGAGTCAAAAATGTTAATCAAGTCCAAATGGGATAATTTAAAAATTGCTCAATTTTTAAAACCATGCATCTTAAAAATGGACCATCACCAAACAGATAACTAAGAAACATATTTGCATTTTCTGTTTCATAATGAATGAACTTCCCACTTCAAACCTGTGAGAAGGTTTAAGGGAGTGCTAGGGAATCTGAATGGGAGTTTAAATGTAAAAAATGGTGTGTGTGTATATATATATATATATATATATATCCCCTTCCCCAATTTAGAAATTCAGGAAGTTGCCTAGCTGTCTTTTAATGCTAAAGAGTACATATGCATTATGTACATCCTCAATTACCTAAATAATTCTTTGTGCCAGTGCTTCTCAACCTTTTCTTCAACATGGACTCCCTTTAAATACCTTTTATGGTCCCAAACCATGGCTCCAGACCCCCAAGACTTAACTCAAAATTTAAATAATATTCGCCTTTGCGGACCTGCTGTGATGATATTGCGCTCCCCCCCCCCAGAGGTCCATGGGCCACAGGTTGAGAACCACTGCTTTACATAACGATTTAAATATATATATATATATATATATATATATATATATATATATATATATATATATATATATATATATATATATATATATATATATATATATATATATATATATATATATATATATATATATATATATATATATATATATATATATATATAACTAAAGTAAACTAAAGTAATTTAAAACTGCCTGGCTGATTTTGTCTAGGTTTAGAAGCTAAGAAGACATGAGCCTATTTAATACACAGATGCATGGCAAAAAATGCAAAAGGTTAGACTAGGACAGGGGTGTCAAACTGCCAGTCTGCGGACCGGTTGCATCATACGGAGGCCACATCCACCCCAGCTCTGGCAATGCAAAAAAAGTCACAATACGTCGCGACACGTCATGTGATGTGGCGGGTTTGACACCCGTGGACTACGAAATTGAGAGTCTAATATAAATTCGGGTTTTTTTTTGTCAAAGTTACTCAAAGATTGAAGAACCTTGGCGACTCTTCCTATAATTGATGAAAATGTTTTCCTATTTCTCTTTTAATCTATGCAAATGTTTTTAAACAAGGGCAGCTGAAAACATTCTATGCTAAAAATGTTGAAAGTAGATTCTATTCTAAAACAAAAAAGTAGTACAGGTAGTCCTTAACATACAACCTTTCATTTAGTACTGGTTGAAGTGACAATGGCACTGAAAAAAGTGACTTATGACCATTTATCACATTTACGACCATTGCAGCATCCCCATAGTCATGTGATCAAAATTCAGACTTTTTAACAACTGGCTTATATTTATGATAGTTGCAGGGTCCTGGGGTCATGTGATCATCTTTTGCGACCTTCAGACAAGCAGAGTCAAGGGGGAAGCCAGATTCACTTTAAAACTGGATTACGAACTTAACAAATGCAGTGATTCACTTAACAACTGTGCCAAGAAAGGTCATAAAATGGCACAAAAAACAATTGTCTCGCTTAGCAACAGAAATCTTGGGCTCAATTGTGCTCGTAGGTTGAAGACTATGTGTAGTAGAAAAAAGTAGAACCAAACATTTTTGTATTAATACTGTATCTTACCGGGTAAGTTTTGAAATGAAAACTCTTATAAAAGGTGCTATAAGAAATATGGAGAAACAACTAATTTGAGTATCAAAGTCATAGGAATTTAAATTTTAGGGGATCAAGTAAACAATTGGAAGTAATGTTTTCATTTTGAATGTATGATAGCTTTTTCAAATAAAGTTAGCAGGTTGCTCACTTGGATTTAGTAACCAATTTTAAAAAACTGCGTAGAGTTTTTAGCTAGCTAGAACAAGAATTCTGAAGTAGTAACATTCAACTCATAGTCTGGTCAGAACTGAAATTGTGTATATGCTTACCCTGTATCCTTGTGTGCGTGCGTGCATGCATGCTTACATGTGTGTGCACACACGTTTCCAGTCAGTTTCTTACTAGTTTTTTGACACTTAGGGCTAAATATGAATCAGTTGCCAAACATCTGAATTTTGATCACATGACCATGGGGTGGCTGCAATGGTCATAAGTGTGAAAAACGGTCTTAAGTCATTTTTTTTTCAATGCCACTGCAACTTTAAATAGTCACTAAATGAACTATTGTAAGTCGAGGACTACATGTATAATGGCAACAGTTGGCATTCAATGGAATGCTGCATCATTCCTATGCTATATAGATATAATTGTCATTATTTGCAGATACTTTTTTTGGTTTTGAAAAACTTGAAAGGTACATGCCCAAATTAACTAGAAGCTCTGTGTGATTTATAACATTTTATAATGCAAAGTCATTCTGTAGCTACTGTTAATGGTTCAGACCAGTACCACTGGTATAATAGTGGTTCTTACCTGTATTCAAGAATGTGTGCTTGTTTTTTTGTTTCTCTTTAAAACAAAAGCCTAGTTTAGTTATCTTTAGTACCTATTGCTGGGTGTGTGTGTGTGTAGAGACAGATAACAGCTCAGGATAATCAAAACAACCTGTATCACGTTATGAAATTAACCTTAGAATTTGCTAGCAGAAGAAATATAATATTAACTTTTATTTAAAAGCTCTGATTTTCCTGTTGTTAATAAGGCAAGCTTTAAATTCAGCAGAGAAGTAGGTTATGCTTTTTTAAATAATAAGTCAGGTATCAGGTTTGGACCTAATTATAAGGATTTTTTTCCCATGTTGTTGATTACTGATTCATTTTCCTTTGGTGTGAGGAGTTATGTTATAATGACAGAGTGTAACATAGTAGAATATTTGTTCTAGAACAATTGCCAGGACTGTCCCAAATTCTTGCCTTTTTGTGAATACTCTGTAACTAAAGGCACCTTGAGCTTATGTGTACCAAATAGCAACTCTTCCATGCTGAATGCCTCAGCATCTGGCTGACTTTGGCTGTGGAAGCTATGCAGATTTCAGCCTATTTAGTACTCAGATGAAAGATAAGCAATGCAAGGGAGGTAAGCTAGACTGGATAGTTGAGAAAACATCCTGAAAGAAAGCAGTGACAAACTATTGACATATCCCAGAAATCATGAGAAGCTGAACTCAAATGAGATTTTAACTTTACTACATTGTGCAACTGATTAATTTCCGATATGGAATGAAGGAGTTTGTTTATAGGTAGAAGGGATGTCCCTAATGTTGTGGTTTTTGAAGTATATGTTTTAAAAATTCAATTAAAATTTATAGCAATGTATACTTGTTCCTATTCTCTGTCCAATGGTTGAATGTACAATTGTGTGCAGAAGATATATTTCAGGTCTGTCTGGTATTTAAACTCTCTTTTGATTGCAGAGTCAGATCTCATGGAAAATAATGGTTCCAAATCAGTGTCAGACATTTTATACAACTAGAAATCTGTATGTACCCGAATTCAATTTTTTAATACTTTTCCTGGAGTACATCCCATACTGTTTTTAAGGATAGCAATTGGGAAAAAAGGGAATCTGTCTTGCAAATGGCCAACCAGTTAGGTAATTTGGGATGGTTATTTAGAATATAGAATTTAGTCCCTATTGTGCTATATCACTTACTTAGTATAGCCCAAAAGAGGTTTTAGTTTGTTGATACTGTACTCTTATAGTTAAATAAGCATTTATTATATGATGGATTATGGCTACCTTTGCAAGATACAAGATCTCTGTACTACCCCAATCATAAGATTTTGAGTGGCTTATATAATTATAAAATCGCAAACTAATCTTAAAAGAATAAAAAAAGGAACTTGGCCTGCAATACATGGCACAAGTATCCCTGAAAATTATATATATTTAAAAAACACCTAATAAAAGAGGATTGCCTTCACCTTCCTTCTGAATAATGACAGTGAGGGGAGGGGATCTTTATATTAGGGCATATGTTTAAAATGGGCAGTCACAATGAAAGCAAGTTATCTAGTCCCCCTCTCCTTATCTTTACAGAGAGTGGGTATGCAGTATGCCATCATAATTCAAATGTGTAGAACAAATAGATTCTACCTACAATAACCAGGACTAAGCCATGAAGAGCTTTAAAGGTGATAAGCATTTTGAGTGAAATGTATAGAATGGAGAAGTATTGCTGTGCTGAATCAACCTACTACACCAAGTAAAGTTTCTGAACATTCTTCCTGGGCAGCTCCAAGTAATCTCTAAATATCATTTCTGCAGCAAGATAAAAAAAATATTACCAGAACATGTTCTTTCTCTTCTTTTCCCAAGGTATTTTCAAAAGAAATAATTCAAAGCTGATGGATGAAATTTTAAAACAGCAGCAGGAATTGTTGAATCTTGACTGTTCAAAATATACAGTGAAATTTGCAAATCAGGAGAAAACAGATCAAGGTAAGATAATTTTTTTAAAACCCTGTATTGTTATTGAAGACTAAAATGCATTGATTACACAAAACTAATCCACAAATACTGGTGACTTAGTTTCTTGAATGGGAAATTTCCATGGCCACAAGTTCTTATAGATCTGGGTGTACACAACTCAGTGGAATAAGACAGATGAATATAAACATGAATTAAGAAAATTTTGATTCTAAACTTCTACTGGAGTGTTATTATTATAGCAAAGAATTAGGGATTTTCTACAAAGCATACTTTAGTAGGATTATTTAAGTAGCAGTAGCACTTAGACTTATATACCACTCCACAGTGCTTTAGAGCTGTCTCTAAACTGTTTACAGAATCAGCCTATTGCCCCGAACAATCTGGGTCCTCATTTTACCGACTTCAAAGGATGGAAGACTGAGTCAACCTTGAGCTAGCCAATACTGCATTCTAACCACTGTGCCATCACTGCTTACCAGTAGTAGGAACTTTGAGAAATTGCAGAGTAATGGGGGAAATGTTATTTTTAACTGGAGAATTGTAAGCCTCTAACTTTGGAAAAAACTGATTTCAAGCAACTGTTTCTGTTCTTCCACTTTCATTGTTTTATTTTAATTTCAACTGCAGTTTTAAATTGCCAATCTGTACTGAACGTGCTGTCCTCAGAGGATGGAAAAACAGATATCGTAAGAGCAGCTCAGAAATTTTGCCACTTAGTAGCACAAAAGCAAAAGAAATGCACAGATTTGGATATAAACATCTTGGAGAATTTATTAAGCAGTAAGTGTTAAAGCACAATTTATTTACTTTTTTTGAGTAGTTGGTGTAAAATGGCTGATCTAACAGTAATATTTTTTTTAAACATAATCAAACTCTTGGTGTAAATATTTGGATTATATATTCACTACAGGTAGTCCTCAACTTATTACCAGTTGTTTAGCGTCCTTTTGAAATTATGACAGACCCCCAAAAGGTATTTACAAACTAGTTTCGAAGTTACAATGGCTGCATGTTCCCTCCACAGTGACATGATCACATTTTGGGTGCTTGGCAATCGACTCAGCTTTATAGCTGTTTGCAGTGTCCCACCACTACATGCCCACGATTTTCAATGTTTTTTGCTGTTTTCCAGCAGGAAACACCAATTGCTATTATGGATTCCCTTAATGACTGTGGTCTTTGCTTAAAGACTACCATGCTTGGTTAATGACCACCTCAAAAAGTCTCATAAAGTCATGTCCGGTTACATAGTGACCTGCTTCACATCTTCAACAACTCATGACTGTAATTCCAGACTGTAATTCCAGATGGTCGTAAGTCAAAGACTACCTGTATTCAGTCTCTACATTCTATGGGGTTACTTTGTAGAAGATCTCCTTTTGAAATATGTCTTTGTAATTCTTGCTGTATAAGTGTTCCTTGCCAAATAAGTGCAGTCATTATTTGTAATGGTACATGGCCTCATGGAAGAAAATCCATTTAATTTGGAAAAATTTCACATTTGTCTTCAGGTTTATATACAGGGGGTACCAAAAGCCAGATCAATAGATAATTTATTTTATAAATTATATTCAGTTAGTTGCTGTTTCTTTTAAACACTTCCTTACTCATTTGATGTTTGATTTTCAAATATTCCTAAATATGGTAACATTTTCTTTGGGAAACAACAACAACATATGATTGGCCTTTGTGGCCTGACATTTAGGAATACTCTACATATTAAATCTGTCGATCTGAGCATTTATCTTCCATTAATACTCAAAATTGCCCATTTCATTGCAGATACAGATACTTAAAAGCAGTGTTCTGAATGTGGAATTTATTTGTTTTGACTGAATTACTTACAAGCTGTTTAATGTTTCAAAAATCCATGTGGGATAATTGGCTCCCAGAATTTGCTTTTCTGTGAATATATTATTTGGCTACAGTGTATTCTGCTGACTAGGCTATTTCAACTCTATTCATGAAGCAGAATGTTATGGCGAACCTGTGTTACACCTCTGATAAACTGGGTAGTCTTGATTTTGCAATACTATTGTGCCCTTTTTCTAGGTACTAATGGCTTTCCTGATCCTGACCTAATAGTAAAGTTTGGTCCTGTGGACAGTGTCCTGGGATTTCTTCCCTGGCAAATCAGATTGACAGAGATTGTGTAAGAACATATAATTCTTATGTATTTTCAGTAGTTTTGATTCTGATGTTCAATCTGATAGGAAAGTGTGGATATTGTAATAAGTCAAGCAAAAAAAACAGTTCTCTTCAGTTATGTTGAGGGCTAAATAAGAAATGCATCACAATGGGTATTAGAAATACGTTGACAATTTTTCTCTTGTGCCCTTTTGCAAAGCAAGAATGATAAAATGCAGCTTCAGTGTTTCTTGTCATTCTCTCCAGATTGCAATAGCTCACTAATTTTCTTCACTAGACTAACAAAACTAGATGTGTTAAGCTCACAGTAGGCTAAATTGTACTTTTAAACACTTCCCTCTAAAGTGGAAAAAAGGATTCAACTTCCTTGATATCACTCCCCATTCCTGCCCACCCTCCAACACTGAAAGCATTAGGAAAAAATGCTTCTTCCAGCCTCAAAGATTGCCAACTGCAGAAAGAAAAGTACAAATTCATGAACAGCTCAGATTAATAGTTTGCTTGCTAATACATACTTTATATTATTATTGACCCAGTGTATAATCATAAAAGATGGTAAAATTTCTTGATAATCAGTATAATGTAGGTTCTGTCACCTTGTTAATATTCTATTTGTCCTGTGGAATGACTTGCTCTCTATGACATGCCTGACACCCACCCAGAGGCAATTTAGGAATCTCTAAGAATCCATCTTTTTATGTTTGCCTTTTCTAGCCATTAACTCCTTGTAATATTTGCTTTTCTTTTTTTATGACTATTATAAACCACTTTGGATGTTTCTGAATTATGAGAAATGGTTTGAAAATTAGGGCTGTGTAATACTCTAGATTTAAAGGAAAAATTATTTCAAGACTATTTGGATGTACACTTTCTTAAATCCAACCCATCTTTGTATGATATATTACAACAACAGCTGCACAAGCCCAGAAAAGATGCAATTTCTATAAGACATAGCTATATAAGTATCCCTAAATATTCCAAATATCTTTATCCCTTTGAATATGGATTGGGCTATCCACTAAGAAAAAAATACAAATAATAAAGTCCTTTCAGATTGGCATCTCTAACTTTTAAATATTTAAAAGTTATAGATTTATTTAAACAGGTTGCAAACCTATTTAATAATTAATTAAAGCCGACAATGTCCAGAAGAATCTTGTGGTTCTTCAGTTGATGCAGAATAGCAAGCTTTGGATTAATAGTGAGTCTGATGACAGCTATGATTCAGTAATATCTGATGGGCTAGAGATATCCCATCCCTGCAGTAAATTTCTTTTTTTTCTTATTAGTGAATATCTTTCCATCATTTGAGCAAATTCATGTTGAATCTGAACTCTTATTTTATGTTCCATGGAGAAGAATATTCTTACCATAAGAGAGCACCTCTAATTATATACTGTGTACTTTTGCACATAGGTACTACAAGTTGGGGAGATCTTGTGGAATCTTATGTATTAAGAATAGATTCTTGTATAACCAAACAATATGCATCTGTTAGCATATTCCTCGGCTATAGAGTTGATAGAAAATTTGAAATATCCTTAAGTTCATATGTTATTATAAAATTTCTATGATTTGTCATATATCAGTCTGATTAATAGTTCAAAGCAAATTTTTAGGAAAGTGATAACAAACTTAAGTATTGTATGCAATCCCAATTATACTTAGTTTTCTTTCCAATTATTTTTTCTCAGTTCTTTGCCTTCACATGTGAATGTCAGCTATGATGAATTCTTCTCTGCCCTTTGTTACTATGCATCCTGTGATCAGCGTGTTGGAAAATGATTTATTGCAGAATTCTATCAAGATTTCTTTGGAAAGGACCAAGGTCTCTGTTTACAAATAGCTGTGATACATACAAGTCCAGTACATAGTCTTTTAATTTATCAAACTCAATAAAGTGTCTTATCCTTTTTAGAATTTGTATGTGTGTGTACTCATAATCTATGAAGGTATGAGAAAGCAATGGTTTACTGCTATCTAATAATGGTATATCATGAAAGTTGTAAAAATAGTTGTTTAAAGATTTCAGACTTATTTTTTTCAGTGATCAAACTCTTATTACTAGAAATATTTACATGCAATTATATATATAAAAAAGTCAAAGTAGCACTGCAGTCAATAAAGTGCACATTCTCTGCTGAAGTCACCTCATACATTTCTGAAATCATACTTTACATCTTTTTCACCAGACTTACACTTGACTTCCTTAGCCCTAGATTCTAGGAACACATTGTGAATTGATTATCTGCAAACATTTATAAAAGTGTCTGACAGGGTGAGATTGGACAGAGGGAATAACTAATGTTAAAACTGATTAAGATTAAATCAGCAATTGAATTATGGGCCTTATAATTATGGACCATTCTTTCTGTCTTGGAGAACCGAAGTTTAAATAGCATGGTGGATTGTGTGGAAGAATGGATGTGGGAATAATGGAGCATCCTCATGTAAGCTGAACTTTTCCAAATGCAACATGAACAATTGGACCTCTCTATTCTATTTTAGAATAGCATATTAACATCTCTGAGTGAAGGTAAGTTTTTTTTAAAGGCTTGTATTTTCCTTTATGAAAAAGATTGGCTCCATTTTCAACATGAATATCCACCATGTTATCTTTATTTCAACCATATGTTAACCCATCTGGATGACAATGAGTGTGGCAGAATACACTCAGTTTATGTCTGGCTAAGAAACAGCACCAAACAGTGAATGTTAATTCAATATGTGCTGATAATTTTTTTGAATTTTGACATCATCAATACACTGTAACATGATTACTTGCATAAATTATTGTGGCAGTTATTGTGTGACAGTGTATTAATAAAACAAAACAACAAATGTATTGAGGCTAAAATTCATTTATTTGTCAGCTAATTTCCTGCAGCAACTTTGTTGTGCTGCTTAATATATATAGTGTGAGATTTTTCTCCAAACCTCTAACTTAATATTATATCCCTAAGTCCTTGCAAGTTTTTAAACAGACTGTCCAGTAAATTCTCTGTTTCAATTGCATATTTTTAAGAATAGCAAAACCATTTTTATGATAATATTTTGGTTTAAAAGGGAACAGAAACTTAAATCTATTTTGTGAATATCTTTTTTTGTAAATATCTCCAATTAATGGAGTAAAATATTGCAGATGAGAATAGTATTTTTCTCCTTTTTTAAATATCAAAGTGGTACTTGATACATCTGTGACAAAATTATGGATTAACTGACCATGGGGTGTTTTGTTTTTGTTTTTAAAAAGAATGCTTACTACTATGAGCTTATGATGTAAATGGGCATCAAGACAATATAGATACCTCCTGGAATTTCAAAATCTATCTTCCAATTTCTGCTATAGTGATCATAAACGTGTAATATATTTCAGGAATGTTCATGCATCCATTTCTATGAAGTCGTTCAGGAAACTGCATTTTAATGAAGACAGGTTTTGGAACATATTCTACAGGAAATACTGAAAATTATGACTTGGTGTATGTAAATTAATTGAAAGACCTAATGAGAACTGACATCTAAATATCAGAGCTATGAGCTTAGCAAAACAATTGTAGTGTAAGTTATGAGAAACAAAATAGCAAATTTAAGATTCTTTCCCACTTTTCTACTTGATAGTTTTTTTGAATCTTCAGATGCCAAAGAATAGTTTGAAGAACCACCTGCATTTTGTCCACCCTTGTGACATTCTTTGACAACAGACTACTGTATGTACCAAGCTCAGTAGAAAATATGAAGTTAGATGTGCCAAAACACTGCATATCCACAATTTATTCTTTGAATGTATATCATTGCAGTAAACTCTCCCATCTAAAGTTATATGAGAAGGTATAGTGAACAGCAGTGACAGACTATGTTTGGATACTTGTAAATAATATGTAAAGCAACTTTTTATTATGAACAATTGACTCATTGGACTTCATAACTGAGAGTAAAATAAGAACCTGTAAATAAATATATCTTTTTACAGGCAGTGCTGTTGTACGAATACATGCATCTGTTTTACATGTAAAGTTCTCCCTAGTGCCTATGCATACTTAAAATGTGTGACAGAAAGTGTTCTAGAAAACAATTCTCAAAGGCTTTTTTGAAATCTTTCATTAAAAAAACCAGTATTTCTGGATATTATATTTTAAATTAGATCTAAATTCATATTTGGGTGGACTGGAGGGACTGATTTGTAATCCCTTTTTGAAAGTTTTAAAAAAATGTCTGCAGTTTAGGAATGCGTGAAACACACATTCTTTCTTTCCCAATCAGTTAAAGAGGATGTGGAAATATTTAATCGGTGTCTGGAAGTTATGATATGCTGGCTGCAAACATGCTGAAACAGACAAATCTGAGAAGTTATACTTTGTCACAAACCAGTCTAAGAAAGGCTGTTTCTTCAAAAAAATAAATGGAACTCAGATATCTAAAACATATAAGCTATAGGATGGATTTATTCAATTAGGACCAGTGTTATTTCTTCATAAGTTCACTGTATTTCAAAATATCTGATAGTTACGACAAACCATCATATAAAAGCTATGTTAAAACTTCAAAATGATATACAACACTAATGACAAAATGTGTTTCTAGGCTTGCGATGCTCCATACTAGATTCCCTGAACTACATTTTAATTTAATCCTTTTTGTGGAGCTACAGTGAAATAATTAGCTTTGTGTTGAAATCCAATTAAGTTGCAGTTCCCATTGCCTAATCCTTAAATAAAATGTGTCATGGATCCTATTCCTCACAGCGATGTTCTATTCACACCATGTTTATGAAAACATTTCCTAAAATACCGTTCCTTAAATATGTAAATATCTTAAATGACAATATCACTGATTTTATTGTAACATGGCAATTGTATAAAATATGTCTTCCCTTCCCAATCTCAGGGTTTGTCTAAGTTCTGACCAAGCACAAAGTAAACAATGAAAGTCGCTTTAATACTCTGGGGAAATTAAGTAACATATAGCCAGGTTTGATAGGCTAAAGCAAAATTTCAGATCTAAAATATGGTAAATACAAATGTTGAGAATGTAAATATTGAAGCATTCATATACTGAATGACTACATCTAATAGTTATAGCACAGAATTATAGTTCTCATCATATCCCATTTCTTCTTTTATATTCAAATTTTTATTAATTTTCAAATAAACAAGTTACAAATATGGTATACATTAAACAAAAGAAAAAACAAACCCCCCATATCTATTCAGAGATGCTCAGCAGTTCATATCCCATTTCTTTATAGGACGGAAATAAAAATGTTCAACCCCACAGATTCCTCCTATAACAAAAAAACGGACAATGGAGCTAATGATAGTACTTAATTTATATCTGGAAATCCTAAGACTTCCAGGTATTTCTAAATTACCACATCGGGTTATGTGCCTCCACTGGTCATGCTACTTGAGTATACTAGAGTCTAAAGCCCAAAAAGATTTGATAGGGCAAAGGTCTCCTTATGCTATGACATAGGAATAGATGAAAGAGCTTCTGAGGTTATGGGACAACCAATTCGTCCATTGTGATGATCTTAGGAATAGTTGTGTCTGGTAATTTTTCTTTGGCTTTTTTGTTAAGAGTTTCTAAATATAAACTACCAAATTAAGAAAAAAAGTAAAAAAAAAAAGCCATGTATTTAATTTCTAGTAAAGCACAAGGCTTGAATTTTATCTAGAATATTGTACTTTCCTCCCATATATTCCTTCATCTAAGATGTGAAAAAGATTTGGATGAAAAAATGGAAATGTATTTTTAAAAAACACACTTCAGATGAGCAAAAGGGGGATAGATTCATCCTCATACTCACCCTGGATGTTAGGCTATGTTCCTCTTTATCTATGGAAAAAAAAGGCTGAGGGATCTTCTATTTAATCCACCACTGATCTGAACCAATTGGTGTAAAGTACAAGGAAGCAAACTTAGGTTAGACATCAGGTGAAACATCTGACTTTATAAGCTGTCAGCTAGTAGAACAGACTAGCACTTGAATATGGTGTGTGCATTTTTTGTGAGAGGTGTTTAAACAGAGGATGGGTATTGTTTGTCAGGTAGTGGATCATCCACTGAGCAGCGGCTGCAGTAGACAACATCTGTGGCCTCTTCCAAGGCTATGATTCTAATTTTGGAGATTAATAGGGAGTGAATACAAGTAATGTCATACCCAAGACCCAAAAAGTATTTCAAACAAATCCAGCTACTTCAAAAAGCAAGGCAAACTTATTGCAGTAACTTTTTGGACTCTACCCATCTATTTCCTCACTCATTTCCTCTGGCTATTAGACAAGTTAATAATTTCCTAACAGTAATTACATTTGTCATAATATGTAGGAATCTTAATTTCCTAGAAATACATTACCAAAAATATACCAAAGCACTCCAAAACTGCAAATTTGTTTCTTCAGTCTTCCCAAAAAGATAATTCTCTGTCCTCCCCACTCCCACTTTGGTGTAGTGGTTAAGGCACCAGGCTAGAAACGAGACTGAGTTGCAAAATCAACTGGGTGACCTTGGGCCAGTCACTCTCTCTCAGCCCTAGGAAGAAGGCAATGGCCAACCACTTCTGAAATTCTTGTCAAGAAAACTGCAGGGAGTTGTCTAGGCAGACTTCAGGAGTCAGTACTGACTAGAAATCTCCCCTCCTCTTTCACACATGTAAACACACATAATTATATTTAATTCCCTATGTCCAGAAATTGTGTATAAAACAAGGTATACACTAAGCAAATAACCCCAAAGTTTGTAGAACTACTAAATCTTACAGTGATCATTATAGGTTGTTGTTTTTTTTCTTTAAAAAAAAGCTATCTAAATCCAGAAGAATGCATAGAATAAAAAAAATCTGAATAGGAATACACTTCCACAAAAAATAAGCAGAGTAGCAGGATCAGAACTCTGACAGGTTATAATTTACAACCAAA